ATACCTTATTTCTTTACTATATTTTCTGTTTAAAATACCCAGCAAAAAGATCTCTGGTTTCCAGTCTACGGGTTGGTTTATTATTTCTTCGATCCATCTTCTTATTTTAGTCCAGTATTTTTTCGCAACTGGGCATGTCCACCATAAATGATAATATGTTCCATGTACTTTTTTACATTTCCAACATGTTGGCGAATTGTTCTGGAACATCTTGGCAAGCTTTGCTGGTGGAAGATGCCATCTGTAAAACATCTTCAACTAGTTTTCCTTGAATGCCGCTGACATAGTCAATTTTATGTTTATTTCCCATATTTTTTCCCATTTCTCCAATTCTATATTATATCCGAAATTTTTTGCCCATCTAATCATTGTGCCTTTGACAACCTCGTCTTCCATTTTATATCTCAATAGGTATTTGTATAAATTGCTAATTAATTTTATTTTTGTACCATGTATAATTTTATCCAATTCTTGCGGCTCTTTTTGTATTTCATATAATTTTTTGTCCTCTGTATATTTAGATTGAATTTGTGTAAATGTTATCCTAGAGAAAAAATGGGGGGGGGGGAAGAGAGAGAGAGAGAGACGGAGGGAGAGAGAGAGAGAGAGAGAGAGAGAGATTACCATGAATACAATTTTTTCCCCCAGGTAATTATATCGATTCCTGTACAGCACATATTGTAGTTTATGCCTGTTACACCAAATTACGCAGTGCAAAATGATCCTTGTACATATGTGAATCTGATACGAGAACTTACAGAGTGCTATCTCAACCACTTGTGCACTTTCTCCAGAACCCTCCCCTATATCCTCATCCTCCTACAAGCATGATGAATTGAAAGGGAGAATAGTGTGGTTTTAAGCAATGTTATGGTCTATAATGTCTCACACTTTTATGGGTTGCAGGTTGCCCTGGGCATGATGCAATCATTCCAGCCTTCTTTGATTTGAGAGCCTCTGGTTATCGTGATCCCATTCTAGTATCCCATGCTAAAGGCATTGGGACAAAACTTAAGGTAAATGGAGGCACGTCCATTTTTAAACTGGATTGCTTGTACATAAGTATGTGATTAAAAAATATAAACTTGATCTAATCTCATCAGAAGGGAATGACTTGCTCATAAAGACAAAAATCACTGGCTCGTTTATTTTGAACTTCTGTTTATATTTTCCATTATATATTTTTGCACACTGATCATGCTGACAATGTGCAGTCAGTCCACTTTATATTTCAGTAAAGTCTTTTTTGTCCCTTTGTCTTTTTCCCTTCCTGTTTCCTTTTTTCCTGGATTGATGAGATAATTTTACTGGACAAAATATCTTCAAACTTTAAGGCTGCACTAAATGCAATTTATGTAAGAGTGGGGGAGTTTCTTAGCTATTTGTTTCTCTTTCTCAAAGTTGTGATTTCCTTGGTGCTTTTATATCTATTGCTTTTTCTGGCTTTTACTAGGTTGTTGGCAAGATAACATCTGATTCCGCAAGACTCATACAATTGATTATCTTTTACTTATAATTGTATGAGTCTTGCGGAATCAGATAATTGTATTATCTTTAATTATTGAAAATCCCAACTCCTTTAGAGCAGATTTACTTTTACCATGAACTATCCCTTCCACTGCAACCTTCTACATATTTTCTTATCAGAGACGAGGAAAACTTATACTACTGTATACTCTTCTGCTGCACTGATGGAAGCTTCCTATTAGCCAAATAATACTGGATGGTTTTCAGCTGAGTTTTTGGATCCATCAAAATTTATTGAAGTAATATTTTGTATGAACAATTATTTACATTACAATGTGTGGCTAATTTGTATGACTTTTTAACAGATTGCCCAGTTGTGCAATAAGCATGACATGATTGGTCAGGACTTGGTGGCTATATGCGTCAATGACTTGCTGGTTCAAGGAGCTGAGCCTCTCTTCTTCCATGGCCATTTTGCATTTGGAAAACTGGATGCTGGTGTGACTCAGCTCACTCAGGCTATCTCAGATGGGATAGCTGAAGCTTGTAAACTGGCAGGATGTACTTTCCTTGGTATGAACACATTTAAATCAATTTTTAAACTACTTCCCTGAATCCTAGTGGCACTCATTTCCAGTTGCAAGGCTGAATCTGAGAGCACTTCCATCCTACCACTTCCGTTCCCTAATCCCTTAGAAAGAATTTCATTTCTGTTGAACTTGAAACATTGAGACAATACAGGGCCAATAGGAAAGTCAGCCAAGCAGTGTCTTTTCCTCGTGGAGGAAGAACAATCTCATCGCCCTCATTCAAACAGTTATTGATCCTCTCCTGCACATTTTCAGTACATGTTATGCACATTTGTCCATTTACAAAACAGCCAGACAAAGCATTCTGAGCTGTTCATACGATGGGGAACTTCTTAGCACCAAAGATATAATTCTTCTTTTGTTATGTTATGATAAAAACTTTGTCATTATTGCAACTAAGCATTTCAATACTTTTGTTCATGGTTGCCCACTGCTAGAGCAACTGGAAAAAGAGAAAAAGAAAGGCATTATTTGGAATGTTTATAGACAGGCCACAGGAAAAGAATGCTGTAGCTCCGTGGTGGCGAACCTATGTCAAGCGTGCCACAGGTGGCATGCAGAGCCCTCTCTGTGGGCATGCGCGCTGTCGCCCCAGTCCGAGGCCTTCAGCTGGGTTTTATAAAACCTTTTCGCTTTAGGCCTCTGTCGCTGTGTGCAAAAAAACCACAAAGGTTCATCAATCAATCAATTTCAATTTCTCGCGGGGAAAAAAAAGATCTCACAAAGTTGGAATTGATTGATTGAACTTTTTAGTCCCATCCAGTCTGCCATTACCACCACAGCCACGCCCACCCAATGGGCCATGCCCACCCAATGGGCCACGCCCACCCAATGGGCCATGCCCACCCGACAATACATAAGTGGGTTTAGGGTTGCACTTTGGGCACTTGGTCTCTTAAAAGGTTCGCCATCACTGCTGTAGCTTTTGGGGAAGAACAGATAGTAATTCTACAGTGTACAGTGTAGAATCTAAGAAGAGGGATGACATAGAAGTTCTGGCCCATAAAAAAATGGCCTTTACAATATAGCACAGCCAATTACAATAATTCATCTTCAGGTGTGAATGTACTTCTGGTGTAGGGCAAAATTCACGAGGGCAAATGTCCTCATTAAGGGTTATTCCAGATAAGAAAACACATACACACAGAGAGAGACACAAACCACACTATCAGTGGTTTTCTCATTCCATGAATGGAGGTTAACAAGAATTTAGCTTGCTTTTTTCTTTTACAAAAATGATGTTTGAAACTGTGAGGCACTGTTGGGTGTAAGGGTGTAAGGGCTTTGGAAGCATCCCAACAGTTTATTCATTTATCAGTACAATACATTTTGTTGTTGGTCGTATAAAATCAGAAGTCGAGGCTTTTACTAATCTGTGCTATTTTAAACTGGATTTCAATGGAATGGTGGTTTCTAGATTTTCTTAGGATGCACTGTGTTTGATTCCTTCCTTTTTCCCAGGAAGAGAAACTAATGAAATACCTGCCACTTGTGCAGCTGGAGAATACAACCTGGTTGGCTTTGCAGTTGGTGCTGTGGAGCGAGGCATGAAGTTTCCTCGGCAAGGGAACATTGTCAATGAAGATATTGTGATTGGAATAGCTTCTTCAGGACTTCATCACCAAGGATTTGATCTTGTGAGAAAGATTTTTTTAACATCGTCCCTACACTATTTCTCTCCAGTTCCTGGTGGATATGGCAACCATACTTTAGGCATGTAAACACTTGCCACTTTTTATTCCACACTTTTCTTGGAAAGAAATAATTTTCTGTCATTAGGTATCGTGCAAGGGACATAGACATATACACTGTTATATAGTTTTACTGTATTAATTGCAACTCTTTGTATGTTCTGATCCTGACGATGTAGGCTCATCCCTAGAATACTTTGAGATTAGGAATTCAATTTATTTTGTTTCCTTAAAAAGCAGAAAAATGCTATATTCTGTTTCTTAAAATTAATTTCCTTGTATCTTAATAGGAGAGCAGTTGCTAACTCCAACCAAAATCTATAGCCGAGCCCTCCTTCCTGTCCTCCGATCAGGAAATGTAAAAGCCTTTATCCATATTGCTGATGGAGGATTGTTGGGTGGTTTTTACCATATCCTTCCTGAACGCTTTAGTGTTGTTTTGAGTAAGTAGAAAAAGCTTGGAATGTTGTACCAACTGTAATCCAATAAGATGGTGAAAAAAAATCTGCTAAAGAATTAATATAGGCATATCCTCTGGTGGACATGTGTAATATAATGTATAATTAAGGTGACCAACTTTTTTACAATGAGAAGGAGGACACAAATAAATTGAAGAAAAAAATTATCATAAATAAAACATTTTATTCATTGCAAGAATACAGAATACACTATAATATGATAAATGCATAATAAAATTTTTTTGTAACAATAACATTTTATATTGTAATTATGCTTACATGCCTATTAATTATTACTTAAATGAGTACAAAAGAAGGACTGTCCTCCCAAAAGGAGGACGATTGGTCACCTTAGTATAATGTAAATAGATTATATGTATGATATACTGTATAATAAACTTGGTGGAATGGAAAAGAAAGAAAACCTGGAAGGTGGTAAATTCATCAAAGAAAGGATGGACTAGGTAGAGAACCACTTCCTTAGGAAATGAGACTGAAAGTTTCAGTGTCTCTTATGCTATCAATTCCAAAATTTTCTACACTGTTCTGAGAGGAGAATAGGAATCTAAGGATATAAGAATAGATCTTTAAGGTTCTGGTCATTTCAAAAATCAACTGCTTGATTTTAATTTCTGGTCTAGAAGTTAACAGGAAAAGCTTGCGTAGGAATCCCCAACTTTGAGTGGCTGGTAAGCACATTTGGAATTTTGAGAGCACTTTATATTATTATTATTATTATTATTATTATTATTATTATTATTATTATTATTATTATTATTATTATTATTATTATTATTATTATTATTATTATTATTATAAAGTTGGAAGGGACCTTGGAGGTCATCTAGTCCAACCCCCTGCTCAGGCAGGAAACCCTATCCCATTTCAGACAAATGGCTGTCCAGTCTCTTCTTAAAAACTTCCAGTGTTGGAGCATTCACCACTTCTGGAGGCAGGTTGTTCCATTGGTTAATTGTTCTAACTGTCAGGAAGTTTCTCCTTAGTTCTAGGTTGCTTCTCTCTTTGGTTAGTTTCCATCCGTTGCTTCTTGTCCTGCCTTCAGGCGCCTTGGAAAATAGCTTGACTCCCTCTTCTTTGTAGCAGCCCCTGAGATATTGGAATACTGCTATCATGTCCCCCCTCGTCCTTCTCTTCATTAAGCTACTAGACATACCCAATTCCAGCAGCCTTTGTAGAAAGGTTACCTATTTACAAAATGGATGCCAAAAGAAGATAGCAATCTGATAAATTGATGCTTTCTCACTGGATAATTACTACTTCTGTCATCTGGATTTCCTCTGCTTGTTTTTATCTTTTCTTCTAGTAGTATGGTTTACTTCCAAACAAGCCCATTCATCATTTTTATTTTCTAAAAAAGTGTATAAGGCCCATTTGATGACCAAAGGTACTTTTGTAAAGAAAGATGATACTACTGACAAGTATTTTGCATTGAAACATGCTTATCATTTTTTTTTAAAATGATTTAAATATGTAAACAAAAAAATGATAATTGGAGCATAGATTCTTGAAGACCCCAAGAAAACATCTATGACACTTGGGACGATACTGAAGATCAAAGGGCCATTCATTTTGATCCTGGGGTCTCCAATCACATTTGTCTCAATCATATTCTCAGCTGTCTGTATGTTTCTTTTTTTCCCTTTGCAAATCATAAGATTAATCTGGGTTGTGATTGTTAAAGGGAACAAAATATAATCTATATTTGCACTGCTGTGTAAGAACTGGGTTGTCCTTTACAAATCATCTGCTTTTTAGATACCTGTGAGTGGAAGATTCCATCAATTTTCTCCTGGCTCCAAGAGGAAGGAAACCTCTCAGAAGAGGAGATGGTGCAAATATTCAACTGTGGGATTGGTGCTGTTTTAGTAGTCCAGAGAGAAGCTGCCAAGCAGGTGCTGAAGGATGTCCAGACACATGAGGACGCATGGGTGATTGGAAAAGTTGTCCACCGAACTGCAGGTTATTTAATTGACTAAGCATGTATAAGAACAACTTTATCTTCTTATTGAAACCAATTAAAGTGTGGAAAGATCTCTACTTGGTTTTGAATAATCTGTGTTAGGTTTCTGCAGCTATATCAGTATTTATGAAAGACTTCTGAAAATCCATCAGATTTCGGAAAAGAGTTATAACCAATCTAAGAACCAAAACAATTTCAAATTTACCTTATGGATTTTCAAGCAAGTATACAGTGCTGAGTTTGTTTTAATAAAGACTGTAGATCAACATTTAGCTCCAGTTCAAGGAGAAAGCGAAATACAAATTCATATTCTTCTCAGAACTATTCTTAGTAATTTCATGCCCTGTTATAATTTTACTTCTATCCATATAGACATAAGAACAAGGGTTCCAAGTCTCAGTTTCAGTATGCAGTATTCATTATGAGAAGTATAACTGTGCGTTGTCTTCTTGAATGGATTCTCAAAATGCACATAAAACCTTTCTCCAGTGCACTATTACAGTATATAAATTAATTAGGAAGTATTGTAGTCAAAGTAGACAAACTGATTTTGGTATCTTCTCTAAGGTTGTATAAATTGTGCCCTAACCTTTATGGATGTTTGGTAACTTGTGTTAAGTAACCTGTTGATCTCCAGATGTTTTGGGTTACAACTCCCATACTCTCTAGACCAGGGCTTTTCAACCTTTTCACCCATTGTACCACTTTTAGGATATGGCAACATCCGAGTACCACCAGTCACCTAGCAAGGTGTCAAAAACTTGATGACCCCCCCCAAAAAAGGAAAAAAGTGATAAAGTACAGGTAGTCCTCGACTTACAACAGTTTGGTTAGTGACTGTTCGAAGTTACAATGGCACTAAAAAAAGTGCCCCCCCAAGCCACAGCCTGCCCGCCCGGCAGCGCTCTTCCTCCTGTCCGAGGTTTTCATCGTTGTGAGCATTTCTGTTGAGGATTGGCCGTGGGGGCAGGGTGGGGGGGTATTTGGTTTTTATTCCCACTGTCTGCTGGGTGGTTGCAGCAGGTTTTGATCACTTCACATGACCCTGGGACACTGTAACCGTCATAAATATGAATCAGTTGTCAGGCATCTGAATGTAAATCACAAGACTCTGGAGATGCTGCAACATTCCAGCTGATCGGTGCTTCTTCTGGGCTCAGAAGCACCAGGATCAGTGCCGAGCTCCAGCTGGAGCCTGGCGCTGATCCTGGTGCTTCCACTGAGCCCTGACAGCCCCGAAGAAGCGCCAATCAGCTGGAAAGCGGCACTGATCCTGGCGCTTCCGCTGAGCCCTGACAGCCCTGCAGGTCCAGCCATCTCTCGCTCAGGCTTGTGTGGTGCTGCCACCGGTTCAGCTCATTCCCTTCCCCCACTACCACTTTTCTAGGATGGTCACGTACCACCTGCCAGGTGTCAATGTACCACAGGGGGTACCCGTACCACTGGTTGAAAAGCCCTGCTCTAGACCAGGGGTGTCAAACTGCCGGCCCACGGGCCGGACGCATCACCAGGAAATTGCGCCCACCCTAATGCTGGCAATGGGTAAAAAGCTCCGATACGTTGCACGATGTCACATGACGTCGCGAGTTTGACATGTCTGCTCTAGACATTAACCATTCTAATTGGGGTTGCCTTAGAACTAAATTTCAGAAGATGTTAAGGTTTCCTATCCCTGTCTATGTAATAAAAACGCTGGCCTTAGTGAGAAAGATGCTGTGCAGTACACTTTACTAATGACTACTTTTGAATCTTTTTGTGGCATGCATAAAAATACAGAGTATCAGTTTAGGAATAAGAATCAGGTGAAGTGTAAGAGATTTCTATTCGATAGTATAATTACAGGAAAGTTTATCCTTTTAGTAATTAGTTCAAAACATCTGGAAAAAGCCAAATTTAACTGAATTTTGAATGTAATGCTTGTAGTTACTATATTTTTAGCATATATGTCTTCAGGGTATCCCCAGGTAGAAATCAAGAATCTCTCTGAAGTCCTGCTAAAAAATAAATGGCCATTTTTGAAGGATGTTTCAAATGCAGACAATCAACCTCAGATCATACACAGAAAAGATAAAGTTAAAGTAGCCGTTCTTATTTCTGGAACAGGTAACCATACAATTATTTTCTGTAGTTACTAATATCGCACTGTATATTTAATGCATGCCATGTCTTATAGTTGAAGTCGCTTGTCTGTACTTTCCATATCTGCTTGAAGCTTCTTTCTTAAAATTTGTGAAAAGTTATCGCATTTCTAGTAGTTATGCTTTGGATCAAATTGAAAATTAAGTAGAACTTTCAATATCCAAATTTTCCATTAAACTAATTGTTCAAATCCATTGAATATCTTTAATGGCAACTGGAAGCATCTTCAGATTTTAGGAATAAAATTCCTAAAGAAAGCAGAATGGCACTGTGGTTTGAGAGGAAAGCTTTTTCAGTTGGATTTATATAACTGAACAGAATGTGAAACCTTCAGATTCTTAGGCTGCCTAAGGATGCAATACCACCTTGCAGTACATCCCAATGAACACAACTGAGCTCACTTACTTAAAATCCATGAATGGTACATTTAATCCACGAGAGCGATGGAGTTTTCTCCAAATGGGTAGGTTGGGGTTGAGAAACATGCTTCAGTAGATTTCTAAACTTAATAGGCAAATAAGATAGAAAGGAAACAATGTTAAAGTAATCATTTGAATTTAATTATGCTATGCTATGCTGTGTCATTTTTAAACGTTTTCAGATGAGAATTTTTTTTAATAGGCTTCAGTCTATTAAATGATCAAGAAACCTTTCATAATAAAAGAAAGGAAAATATGAACTTATATTTTCTGTCTGAATGTCAGAATAAGCCTTTCTTGTTTTGAGCCCCCAATTACACAATGTGGATCGCCTTTTCCTAAGGACCTCTGCCAATCTTATTAGGTGAGATAAGATGGGTACATTCCTAGTCCCAATAAAGGAGAATATTTCTAGCTCAGGGTTGAAATGAGAGGTCTTTGGTGCTCTCTGAGCTTGGTTGTTTTCTTGCAGATGTTTCGTTACCCAAATTAGGTAACATCATTAGTGCTAGATGATGCTAAAACCGATGACGGTACCTAGTTTGAGTAATGAAACAACCAAGCTCAGAAAGTGTCAAGGAGTTTATATTCCTAGCCCCTTTCACTAAATATTGCCATCTGAGGGGAACTAGGAAGCATGTCCCTGCCCTATGGAACACACTGCCCCTGAAATTCTGCAGACCTCCATCCTCTGAACCTTTTATAAAGCTTTGAAGATCTGTCTTTTTCTCCAAGTACTGAGATAAGATCAGATAATTGCACATTAGATGTTTGACTTGTTGCCAGGCCTTTGTTTTTTTCAATGCTTTAATCTGCTTAGTTTGATAGTTTTAATATGATTTTATGTGTTGTTTTAATTTTTGAATTTGATCCATCCAAATTTGGTTATGAGTGGCCATATAAATGTGTTAAATAAATGAATAAATAAGTAAATAGACACTGCATTATTAATGGGGCATTTCTTTTGCTTGTCTCAAGAAATTGTCATTTTCAGCATTTCAGGATGGAGTTTTGATGCATTTTGCATGTTTTTCTTTTATTTTGAGGTACAAGCCTTTCAGCACTCCTGTCATATGCAAAAGAGCCTGCAAGTTGCTCTCAGGTAGTCCTAGTAATTGCCAGCAGATCTGGGGTGGAAGAACTAAGGAATGCAACCTTGACTGGGATCCCAACCAGAGTAAATACTTTTTATTGTTTTCACTCACCTAAGAAAACAACTCAGCTTTCAGGTTGCGATGTGCAAGGAAGCTTTGTAGCTATCTGATTTACATTGTTTCTTGTTATGATATTTTTTCCCTTTTCTGAATTACTGCTTTCAGTCTGGTTTTGACATTAATTGATGAGTTACTTATTGTAATGTACATTCTAAAAAAATTACATTCATTATTTTGGATGCTCCACAAATAAAAAGGGGCCACATGACCCAATTCATTAATGTACATTTAGTTCCAGGTTAAGATATCTATATAAATAAAAATGTAAATGTTCGTTTGTTCAAAATCTTAAATCTCCGAAAGTTCTTCACCGATTGCTTTGAAATTTTGACACAACATTGCGTTCGAATATGCGCGTGTTTTTATATACCTACTATTATATAGATGTCACACCTGTGACAGGTAAAAACATGCTTTTTTTGAAAAACAGCGCCATCTGTTGGACGTAAAACAACACACGCTAACCAGTCTGAGCCACAGTAGCGCATGGCCGGGTACAGCTAGTAATCTAATATTTATTTAGAATACATCTCTAAGCCTACTAGCAAAACACTCACACTGCCTTCACACATATTTAGTAAAGGCTATAATATCACTATAGCCCAAGTGTGCCTTGTGACTGGTGGCCGTCCAAGCCAAGAGGCCCTAACTTCTTCTAATATTTAGAGGCAAGTAGACAACCTGTGACACATTGGATCATCCTTTCACAGATACTGCCTTCAACAATGACAGAACTTCTCATGTATTACCTTCACTGGAAAAGTTAGGATAGATTCAGAGGAGCCTAGGACAACTCATAACAACCAACTTGCTGCAGCCAACTCACCGCGGGACAAGAGTTACACTAATATCAAAGAAATGGTGAAATAGAATCATTAAAGATGCAAAAGGAGGGATAAAATGAAATGCGAATGATAAAAATTAAAATAATTTTTAAATTATTGAAATAATTAAATTGAATTGTTGACTTGTCCCATGGTGAGTTGTCCTGCGGCGAGTTGGCCATAGCGAGTTGTCCTACAGCAAGTTGGCCACGGTGAGTTATCCAATTCCAGATTCATAGATATGTATATCTGCCTTGAAAATAGCCTACCTTGAGCTGAATAGTACTAATCAGGCATCAGCACATGAAATATTATATGATATTTTGTGTTTGTCATAAAATACTATATGATAATTCTATGTCATATGAATATTTCCAAATTTGCCAAATTTCAATTCTACAGGAATAATGGGTCCCAGATTTTGGACACATTGTGTAAATTAGTCCATTTGAGGTACCTTGGTTCAAAAATAATTGCCATATGATGTACTGTTTCACCCAGTTAAAGATTACAGGAATGAGAATACATAGAGAGTACAGAGTCTATATATATATTATGTATAGTCTATATACTATAAGACAACCACAACTAGAGAGTGCAGTCAATGCAACAACAGCTTAATTACCACAAGATTTAAAGTACAGAAATAAATATGAGGGAAATATTAGTCAAATACATGCCCATTCTCTTGCCAGAGACCCCTCCAGAGTAGCAAATGACATCCCCAGCTGATCAAATGGAGCATAGCATCTTCTGGATGGTTTATACCAAAGTCCCCTGCAGAGTGCAAATATTTCCAACTTGTAATTTAATTTTACTTTGTTTTGACTGTAAATTTGTCCTTGCATCAATTGCCAAGGAATTCTTCTTAGGGTATGTCTGCCTCCTTGCAAGGTGCTGCTGGTGTAGTAGAAGAGTCATCTACTTAGCTTTCTGTCACTTTTTCCACATTGGGAGAAGTCCAAGTTCAAATAGATAAGTAGGAAAAGAAGCAAACAAGTGAAGTGAAAAATATGGCACCACACTATACTTCTAAGAATGGAAATACATTGCAGCCATGGGGGTGGAGATGACTTTTCCAAGACTGACTTCAGTGATTAGTATCATTAAGCATCTGTAAAGTTCAATAAATTGATTGTAGATACACTGTATATCTTTTTGACCATGGTACTACATGGTTATATTTTCTCTCTTTAAGTATGACATAGGTAATAACAAAGAGATCTCTTCTTACCCTCTCTGTTTGGTGGGCTAGAGGTGGCACTCCTCCTGAAATGCAATTTGTCTGGGAGTTAGTTAGCTGTAGTATCCTTCTTCCAAGTGATGAATTGCTTGAAAACGATCTGCACAATTGTCTGTTATTTGAATTATAACACACATTGTTTTTCAATAAGAGTTGCAGTATGGAGACCCAATAAATGGGAAAAAGAACTTATCCAATGCAAAAAGTGGGAATGAAGTGCAATGTATATTTAACTTTGAATCTTGAAACCTCACAGATTGTACTTGGTAGATGTTGTATATCCACCTAAATGCTTTCAGATATATATTGGTGACTGTTAAGAGAATTGTTTTCAGTGTTCACCCAAACATTTACGAGGTTTTGCCCTCTCTAATTTCCTCTTAACTATTGCAGGTAATTGATCATAAACTGTATGGAAGCAGATCAGAATATGAAGGCACAATTGACAGTGTCCTTGAAGAATTCTCTATTGAATTGATTTGTCTATCTGGATTTATGAGAATTTTGTCTAGTAACTTCCTTAGGAAATGGTATGGTAAGCAAGTTAGATGAAGTATTATTGTTAACAGTAATGGATCTATTCTTATTTGTTAATTTATTTATAATGATTTTATAAAATCATTGAATCAGCACATGACTCAGGGTAGAATACCTCATCAGCAAAAGCAGTAGAGTCATGCAAAACAATATAATAAACAAGTAGAGAAAAACAAATACAAAGACACGAGGACATAAAGTTTCAGGAAAATTCATTTGGCAGGATCAGTGAGTGGAGAAAGAGCTAGGTCTTCAGTACTTTTCAAAGGCACGCAGGGTTAGGGCCAACAAAATCTGGGCAGATGCTGTTCCAAAGGCAAAGGCCAGCAATAGAGAAGGCATTTCTATTGGATCTTGTCAGATGATATTGCCTAAACAAAAGAATCTAGTATACCAACCTTTCAGATGCTGCCAGATAAGGAAACATAACTGGAGGTAGATAATTCCACAAGTAACCTGGCCCTGAGCCATGGAGAATTTTGTAAGTGAGAACCAATATCTTGAATTGCACCCAGAAACTCACTAGTAATCAGTGCAGATCATGTAAAAGAAATGTTGGAGATAGGCAGAAATTATTCAGCATGGTTGTGTCTGGTGATGGCTCCTTGAGGAGAGATTGGATCATCACTCCCTTAAACAACGCAGGACCATCTGTTCTCTCAGATACATTCACCACCTTTTGCACGCAATCACATAACATCCCATTTCTGCCTGTACATAAAAATCCACCATATTTCTGCATTTTACAGGGTTATAGGTGTTGTGTTGCAATGAGTAGGCCAACTTGCCACTACATATTATATGACTTTAAAATTAAAATTTAAACGTTTAAAATGTGAACGAAGAGGGGCCTTGGGCATAAATCTGCTTTGGAATTTGAATTTGGCATATTCATTGAGCTGTGGGCACAGTGGTTAGAATGCAGTATTGCAGGCTAACTCTGCCCACAGTCTGGAGTTCAATCCTGACAAGCTCGAGGTTGACTCAGCCTTCCATTCTCCCAAGGTCAGTAAAATGAGGACCCAGATTGTTGGGGACTATAGGCTGATATTTTTAAACCACTCAGAGAGTGCTGTAAAGCATTATGGAGCAGTATATAAGTCTAACTGCTATTGCTATTTCTACTGCTGTTATTCCTCATTACTACTCAGAAGAGATATTTACTGTTGAAAGTTTGGCATATATGACAACCCTTTCTATTAGCAAACAAGTTTTAGATGTATAATCTAAAACATTTAAATTAATTATCTGTTTGTGTCTTCTATGTCCATACTATTTGATAATTCCCAATATGATTATTAATTGTAGGAAAGATGTTGGGAACTTACCCATCCATTTCACCATCAACTAAGAGAATTAACACCTACAATCAAGCACATCCATCTATAGACAAAATTGTTGGCTGTACTGTGCATTTTGTACTTGTAAGTATGTTTTTCTGGATTGGCAATAAAGACATTTTCTGTGTTCTATATATTGGTAGGTAATAATTATTATGTTCACAACTAGCATGGCTTATCTGTTTGATGTTTACTGTGATTTCATTAATAAAATAATATCTACCAAGATTTGGGAAATCCTTTTGTAGAAATTGAGGCTATGGAATATTGTTATTCCTCTACTTTTGTGTAAAGAAATCAACTCAAACATTCCAAATTATGTTATACCTCCTCTGTCCATATTTCATTGAACTTTTATGGTAATTAATTTTATAGCATCTACCTCTGATGCAACTATCTATAATTAAATATTCTTTAGATGCATTGGACTACAATTCCACCTACTCTTGTTAGTAGGGAAGGTAGTATTTTGCTCTGGCTACTCTAATATATTGGATGAGGAATATTGTCTTGATTTCATGCGTGACCAAAATTCTTCACACACTATCTAAATAAAATATTCTTTTACTGTACCCTTATCCCATTTCCAAATGTTCTGATAATTCATTGTCTCATATCTTAGTGAACAATTCTATTGTTCATACAATTAAAGTAAACAAGTTACTGCTCTGTTTTTAGCTATTTCTCTTTCACGTTAACCTTGCTAGTAAGTTTCTGGATAAGGGGTGTTTTCCCTTCTCTTTCTTTCAGGAGGAGACCGGTCCTGAAGCAATAATTGTACAAGAGCCGGCATATACAAAGGCAGAAGATCCACAGGAGGCCTTATCTGCAAAGATCAAAGAAGCAGAGAACCGGATCTTTCCCATGGCTCTGCAACTGGTTGCCAGTGGGATGGTGCAGTTAGGAGGAGACAGAAAAACCTATTGGAAAAGAGAAAGACAGGAGCTAAACTGCCAAGAGGAAAGGCAGGATTGTTAATGTTTTTGTAGCAGCGATTTCACATAGTGATGAATGGCAATGATTGAGATTCTAAATTCAGTTTTGGTTTCAGTCTGTCACTTCCTTTTATACAGCAACTTTCGCCCCCCCTACACCCTTTGCTTATATAGTTACAGCTTTCCTTCCATAAACCAGAGCATTAGAACCAGCAATGGCTCCCTGGGGTGAGAAAAGGTATGGGCATAATGTGAGCTTCAAATAGTTCCTCTTCCCAAAGGCCAATAGCTGCATTAGACACTGAGCCTGGGCTTTTTTTTTCTATCAATTTACATTGCAATACCTAAATCATTGTCAAGGACTTTCTTACCCCTGAGCATCACCAAAAAGGTCAGCCCAGGAGATGAAGCAGTTATAGATGGCCCTGACATTTGCTGCCACTATTTTCTTCAACCAAGAATATAGGAGCAAGACTGAAAGAAAGAAATGCCTTCCCCTTTCTATTAATTGAAATGGCACAAGGATAGCTTAAGTTTTGTAATCTGTAGTTAATCTGCAGCAACTGAGCCCTGGATTACAAGCTCCTAAATCAAAACGTTCACCAGCTTCAGTCGTGTTGGTGAACGTTTTGATTTAGGATCTTGTAATCCAGGGTCAAATGCTATAGATTAACCACGGATTACAAAGATTAAGCTATCCTTGTGCCACTTCAATTACTAGAGAGGGGAAGGCATTTCTTTCTTTCAATCTTGCTCCTATATTCTTGGTTGAGGAAATAGTGGCAGGAAATGCCAGGGCCATCTCTACTGAAGTAGTGTTTACTACTTATTAAGAATCAAATAGCAAAGAGAAACGTGTAGGTTTTAGACCAGTGTTTTTCAAACTTGGCAACTTTAAGATGTTTGGACTTTGACTTCCACAATTCTATAATTCCTTCCTAAACCCAGGAAGATTTCATCATGGAATGGTCTTAAGTTTCTTCTTTCTTTCTTTCCCTAATATCATGTTGCTGATCCTGGATAGAATTCCAAAAAACCCCCAAAAGTTTACCCTTCTCATTTAACTTTAAGGCAAGGGAGGAGTTCTATCTGTTCAGAAATTTAGTTACCTGGCTGTCCTGCTTTTCAGTAGGAGGTAAACGGTAAGAGGTAGAAAGGATTAGGTTACAAGTCAATTGTGTGTGCATTCTGGTCTAATGTTGGCAGTGGTGTGTATATATCCTCTGGAATTTGTTTTCCCAGGGTGTCTATCACAGTAATGATCTGAAATGCTTTAAACCCATTGTCTATATACTATGCTGCCTACTATTGAATAAATGAAGAGGCATTTAGGTTATGGCCTGTAATTATCTTTAGGTAGCAAATAAGCTGTTCTGTCATCCTGGCCTTATATGAATGGTGACTGTAGTCTTGCTAGTTTCAAAGAGGCATATGCCACACCACAAATCCTATATAACATTTACAAAAGCTTCACAATCTTTCTAGTGGTGACATGAGTTGGATGCAAATTGGTTTGGCTGCTACAGAGCTTATTGAACATTACTTTTTAAAGGCCTACATCTCATTGCAAAATGGAGTTCAGACACTTAATCAAATTAAGATTAGCATGAAAAAGTTTCACGATCACAGCTGACACCAGCCAGAGCACGGGTCAGCAACCCGCAGCTTTGGAGCTGCATGTGGCTCTTTGAGCCTTCTACTATGGCTCCCAGTCCTCCGCCATTTGCAGAGAGAGAGATAGAGAGAGGTACTTGCGCTTCCCTTCTCTCTCTCTCTCTCTGTGTAAAAAAGAGAGTGGCCTCACACTGTTCTCCGACAAGCTGACAAGCTTATTGGGCGGGGCTCCTGCCTTTGCTGCGTCTCCGCAGGAAGCAGCAGCTCTCTCTGTCGTGTGTGTGTAAAAAAGAGAGTGGCCTCACGCTGTTCTCTGACAAGCTGACAAGCTTATTAGGTGGGGCTCCTGCCTTTGCTGCGTCTCCGCAGGAAGCAGCAGGAAGCAGGAAGCAGCATCTCTCTCTCTCTCTCTTACACACACACACACACACACACACACACACACACAAACTCACTCACACTGAGTGGGGGAAGAGGACTGGCAGACCAACGGCAGGAGAGAGCCAGCCCAATGTGTGTCAGCTTGTCGGAGAACAGCATCAGGCCAGCTGGCTAGGTGAGCAGAAGATTGGAGAGAGGGGGAAAGAGAGGGGGGTAGAAAGAGAAAGAGAGGGAGAGAGAGGGAGGAAGGGAGGGAGAGAGAGAAGCACAGCAGCCTCTATTTCTTTTTAATTAAACTCTTCAATCAAGCCTCCACCCTCCAGGGCGCGCATGCGTGCACAGGTTTTGCAGCTCCCAGTGTTTTCTGTGGGAAACGGGCCCAAGTGGCTCTTTGAGTGTTTAAGGTTGCCGACCCATGAGCCAGAGCATAGAAAAACTCAAAGAAGTGCAAGAGTGGCAGACAAAGAGAAATCATAGAATTACCAAAAGTTGGACATGACTGAATGGATATCCCAAAGGAGCTTTTTCAAAAGGCACTGGATTTTGTTTTTCCTTGAAGACATTGTTGAAAAAAACAAAGTCCTGTTGCTTTTTGAAAAAGCATCTTTGGGATATAATCATGACCTAGATGACTGAGAAAGAATGGATATCATCATCACCATCATCATCATCATCATCATCATCATCAAAGTTTTAATGGAAATATCTAACAGTTGTGTACTAAGTATATAAATATGAATTAAACCTGTCTTTGTGATAAAAAAATGATAAGCAACATAAGTAAAGTTGATAATACAAATAAATTTGAGACTTGCAGTTCATATTAGATTATTGATATAGTGAACAAGATTTAATTGTTCTGGAAGTTTAAGATTTTATCTTTCTATGTTTATATTTTATCAGTAAGTTTTGCTCTACAATGTCCATGCTTCGTGGATACAAGGAAAAAGATGCAGATATTGCTTAATGCTTATTAAAGGAAATCTCTGGAAAGTATATATACCAAAGAGACTTCTAACACCTTAAAGATCAACCTACCCCTGTTCTTGAAGTCTCATAGTGTCAAGGTTTTATTTCTCCTGTTATATTTTGTTACTGAGCAATATACATTTAAATTGATAAAACTCAAGTAAATATATATCCACTTAATAGCTCAGTATTCCAGAACTTCAGCATTCTAGGCTTAAAAAACATTTTACTAATTAATTTGTCATATTGTTTCTATTACTTGCACCATGTTCCTGTATTCATTACATTGTAGTAAATTGTTCTAAGCACCTTTATTGATGTTTTAGAAACATTCTAGGTTTTAGTCATTTTACTATTTTTTCCAGTTAATATTTATATATTTTTTCTAATACCACAGATTCTTATGCTCTGTGTTTTTTCTATTAATCTGTCTACTGTTTGATTTGCTGGTCAGTTACCGTAATAAAGATCACCTATATAATATTGGTATGCAATGTGGATCTCAATTACTTCTCTGTAAAGCACTTAACCTTAGGAAGTGGTAAGGCAGTGTTTCCAAATCTTGGAATTTCAAGTTGTGTGGACTTTAAATATTTAGAATTCTCGCTCTGCACTAGTCATAGAGGATTCTGAGAGTGAAATCTGTGCAACTGGAATTCACTGATGTCAGAAAACACTGCTTTAAGACAATACCTATTAAAAGAAAAAAAGTACTATTACCCCATCAAATGATTTTCTAGGCATAAGAGACCTGGTGGATGAATCCATCTTGTGCATCAAGAAGATGGCTTCACAGTTTAGTAAGAGTAGCAAAAGATACATAGTTGAAACCGCTTCCCACTATTAATGGATACATTCTGGATTGTGAAGTGACACAAGAGACAACAGAGGACTATTTGTGTTAAATGCCTGAAACAGGAACTCTGTGATTTATTTCAGGCCGCAGAAATGTTTTTCATCATCAGGCTTCTCTGAATACCATCTTTTGATTTCTTTAGAAATCACAGTTGTTACAAGTTATTTTCAACTACTCTACCAATAAGACTTTTATTCCCCTATACCTATGGTATTAAAAAGAGATCCATTAATATAAAAATGAATTTGGAAACATTTTATTAGATTGGGAGTTGAGATCACAAAATCTTTGGATATAAAAACAAAGTTAAAAGGAATGTAACAGTAACTGAGTTATAGTCTGTCTTCTGATCATTTAGTAACAAAAATATAGTTCAGTGGAACTACATTGTTTATATTCACTTTAAAAGACAGTAATAATATGACTTTTGAAAAAGTAGGTAATATTTAGGCCCATAATTCCACATTTACTTTCAAACAGGAATTAATTGAATTTGTTTGTTTTCGTAATATTAACGGTTAAGATAAAAATATCCTGGAAAAAGACTGTTGCTCGATTCCATGATGAAAAAAATATACCATTTGGATGTTTCAAGTACAACGTATTTAGAAAAGGGGGTGGAAAATTTGTCTCATATAGGAGGTCAGTTACACACAGATCTGGTATTGAATGATACCGCTTTGTTCAATAATACTGGTATTGCTGTGTTCACAGTATTTAGTACAGGATTACAAAACACAAACACTTTTGATATCACTACTATGGGAAAAAAATGAAGGAACTTAATTCCAAATTACCTTAATATTTAGTAGGTGAAACTATCATTAGTACTTTTAAAATGCTTCATTCATAATTGTGATTATGACCTGTTCTTTTTTGTGGTGCCTTTCTTAGGTCTGAGTTAAACATAGAGTCTGATCCCTTGAAGCACAATTCTGATAGATAACAGACAGGTAAAATGACAAGCAGTTTGCGGCTCTTCACATAGTTTTCAGATAACATACTGTGGATATACTAATTACACAAATGCCTTGTCACTTAGACCTATCTCCATTTAGTTCTATTTTGAGTATAATTCAGCAAGTTCATTCCTTTTATTTTGGGGATATATTGGCTTGAGTTGCTTGGTTAAGATTTTAAATCTTGCTGTCCTATGCCAAACTCAGAAGTCAAAACATACACCAGAAATGTTGCTCTTTTTATGCCCTATATTATTTAGTTAT